TGCTTTTACGATTCTAAAGGAATTATACTTCGGGAATTCGTTCCACAGGGACAAAATGTTAATGGCGAATATCATCTGGGTGTTATAGAACATTTGTGGAAGAGGATCGTTCGTGTGAGGCCCGAATATCGAGCGTTGGGAAGTTGGTTTCTGTTGCATGATAACGCACCATGTGAACTGTCGCTGTTCGTGAATTTTTGGCGAAAAAACAAGTCTGTTCCAATATTCTCCAATTTCTGATTTATCTCTGTGTGATTATTTCCTTTTTCCAAAACTGAAATTAGCTATAAAAGGAACTATGACTGTAAAAGCCTATGAAGGTTTTATGACACTGTTATACAAATCCAAGCAGCTGTGACAAGGGTGTTTGAAGGGTTTGCGCAAAAGGACATAAAAAAATCTATGTTAACGTTGTGTAAGCTTGCCCAATGATGTATTGATGTGGAAGAGATGTATTTTGAATAGAAAATATTAATTTTGGCAAAATAACTAATTCTTTTCTTTTTATTCAGAAAGTTCCGTCATTTTTCTGACATACTGTGTAAATATAGAGCCTTCATGTTTTCAAAGCTTCAATAATAACTAGTTTAAGCAATTAGTTTACAAAATCTTTGTAGTTTAAATTATTTTTCACTACCTTTCAACTTTCCAATTCGCACAAATCCAAAATTCTAAAATTCACAAAATGCATAAAATTCAATAATCTAGTTAAATCTATAAATTTGATTACCTAAAAATTTTTAAAGCTAAAAATACTAATTTCTCAAGCCATAAAATCGAAAAATTTATAACTTCAAAATTTGTACAAGTACAAAGAGTCATTTATGAAACAAATATTAAAAACTTCTCTAAAGTAATATAAACATGGTTCATAAATAAGGTAATCATGAGATACGGCTCTAAAAAGACTTAATGACCGTGTAGTTTACTTAGAAACAACCTTACGACCGTTAAAGGATGAGTTTTTCCTATTAGGTGAGAGAAACGAGGGAAGCAGGCTGAAGAAGATTTGACGAAGAAGCGAAATTTTAATTGGTTATTTCAGCGAAAAGCTGCGAGGTATTTGGTTTGTAATTAGACCTTGTGGAAATATCTGAGCCTTTTGATGTTCTTCAATTTGCTTACACGTAAAATTGACTTTTATCACTTTATACGTTTAATATTCAGAGAAGTTAAACAGAATTATTATGTAGAAAAGATACCTCGTATATTTTAAAAGGAAGGTTAGTTAGTTTCATACTCAAAAACTCTAGTAAGTTCTCACTGTAATTTCTTGTTAAAAGAAGATTCTTTAAAATGTAACTGTTTAAATAATATAATTGTTTATTCAAATATTTCTTTCATATTTTTTTATGATACCCTAACTTTTTTTTATGAACATACTTAAAAATGTTCATGAGAGAAGAAGAGACAAGACTGGCAAACAAAAACAATTTTATTCTAAGATTACAGTTTTTACAATTTTAATAATCGTAATAAATAAATTTACTGGAATAACATTTTAAAATTATAAAACTATAACAATATAAGTTAAGTGTAAGAACGTAAGATAGTATGTTATCAAGGTAATATTAAATAAAAATAATTTCAACAATATGTACATATAGCACAGATATTGATACATACATTATTTATCTAAAAAATTAAATATTAGCTAGTAATTTAAAAAAGAATTTTACACATTTTCTTTTGTAATTGTTATCCATCTTATTCTATAAAAAAAAAACAGCAAAACACTAAAAAATGGAAAAATTAAATACAGTATGAGATTTAAATAAATAAATATTCAAGTATAAAACCATAAGCGTATTATGAAATGATAAGCGTATAAATGTACTTAAAATAATAATAAATCTAATGTAAGTATAATGGGGTGGTTTCTCCCTTGTGGCTTTAATTATTCGTACAAGAACCTTGCAATAAGCACTCGTATTTATTCACATATGCAAACTATGCATAAACAAATTTCTCATTTACGGTAATAAATATTTATCTGAAATTAAAATATCCAATTATTTTTTTTTTAATCGATATACAAACTATTCTGCAATAAACGTACGACTAACCAAAGGCTAATTCAACTTTATTTAACAATTATACTTTATATAAAACATACACGGTTATAATTATCGACATCACAATTAAATAACAGCGCCATATTTACCGAATGTCCACTTAAAAATTTTTAAATAATATCTATAAATCCTGACCGTGTTCTGCAATAATTCATGATGGTAAGTTGGTCAAGCGATGCAGGGTAGCTGTTCGTACATGAGACACATGCCAATATTGTCCTCGAGCGTGGTTCCTGTGTCCTGTCCAGGACCAAAAGCCACCCTTATGCGAAAGGGCGTTGCCCAAGTCTCCACTCGACAATTACCTTCTTCGTCCAGCTCGTTTCGATCGCACAAAGTGTTACCACAGTGTTCAAGATTGCAAATCCCAGCTTCGTTGTTTCCGGGCTGCAACAGGAAACAGCCAAAAGCTTGTTGTTAACCCTTTGCCTTACCCGGTGTCAGCCTTGCCCACGAAATAGCCTGACATCGGTGAACTACTTTGATTCGCTGTTTGCTACAATTAAACTTTACCGTATTATTTACTTATCAAACACGGGAGGATAATAAATAAAGAAAGTTTAAATTGGAATTTTGTATTTGTAAATTGACATTTGTCCGACTATGTAAATTGTAATTGAATAACTTCAAATGGAAGGGTATTTATGAAAACGCAATGATTGTTTCATATCTGTGACTTCAATAGTGTTAATAAAGATGTATTATTTGTCAGGTGCGTCAAAACTATCCATAACGATATTGAAACAAATAAAAATCTAATGTAAGTATAATGGGGTGGTTTCTCCCTTGTGGCTTTAATTATTCGTACAAGAACCTTGCAATAAGCACTCGTATTTATTCACATATGCAAACTATGCATAAACAAATTTCTCATTTACGGTAATAAATATTTATCTGAAATTAAAATATCCAATTATTTTTTTTTTAATCGATATACAAACTATTCTGCAATAAACGTACGACTAACCAAAGGCTAATTCAACTTTATTTAACAATTATACTTTATATAAAACATACACGGTTATAATTATCGACATCACAATTAAATAACAGCGCCATATTTACCGAATGTCCACTTAAAAATTTTTAAATAATATCTATAAATCCTGACCGTGTTCTGCAATAATTCATGATGGTAAGTTGGTCAAGCGATGCAGGGTAGCTGTTCGTACATGAGACACATGCCAATATTGTCCTCGAGCGTGGTTCCTGTGTCCTGTCCAGGACCAAAAGCCACCCTTATGCGAAAGGGCGTTGCCCAAGTCTCCACTCGACAATTACCTTCTTCGTCCAGCTCGTTTCGATCGCACAAAGTGTTACCACAGTGTTCAAGATTGCAAATCCCAGCTTCGTTGTTTCCGGGCTGCAACAGGAAACAGCCAAAAGCTTGTTGTTAACCCTTTGCCTTACCCGGTGTCAGCCTTGCCCACGAAATAGCCTGACATCGGTGAACTACTTTGATTCGCTGTTTGCTACAATTAAACTTTACCGTATTATTTACTTATCAAACACGGGAGGATAATAAATAAAGAAAGTTTAAATTGGAATTTTGTATTTGTAAATTGACATTTGTCCGACTATGTAAATTGTAATTGAATAACTTCAAATGGAAGGGTATTTATGAAAACGCAATGATTGTTTCATATCTGTGACTTCAATAGTGTTAATAAAGATGTATTATTTGTCAGGTGCGTCAAAACTATCCATAACGATATTGAAACAAATACAGAAAGTTTAAATGTTAGGACAGTTTTGTATTCAGCGATCTGACTATGCAATTGGACTCAAACTTCAAATTGAAGCGTGTTTAAAATTCGAGTAAGGTTCATCACATTCGAACTGCGAGTCACGAGTCAAGTTTGACAAAATATGGCAAGAGGTTAACATCAACTACATTTGTTTTATAGCCATTTTATGTCCACTGTGTTTCACGTCTTAAGTTGTTAAAACTACGTGAGACTTATTAAAGTACCCAGTCTTGCAAAGTACAGTTCATCAGAGTATAACTTCATTATGTAACAAATTAGACCAGTAACGTACTGAAATTACATAGTTTTCTTAAGAACAAATTACAGAGAAAGGTAAAAGCTAGATACGAGATGCACAAAATTTTGTGATAAAATCATTTCGCGATCGCAGTTAGGACACGGTACCGGTGCTCAAAAAATAGCAACCTCAGTAATCAATTATTAAAAACTAAACTGTATATAAAAAGAAGCGAAAGATTTCTGAGCAAGTTACAAAACTAGCAATGTCTAATGCATAATAATAGTCATTGTCTAAACACGTAAAAGCCAAGCTAAAAATGGGAGTTCAAGTAGTAGTAACTTGAGCGTCAGTGGCGCTGCGTTTCGCTCAGTTAAAGAGGGAAGTGGAAACCGCCTTATCTGTTCATATTCTTTACGTCAGAGAACTGTTTAATTTACACTGATAAGACAATAGGTAGAACAATATGGGTTGAAACAAAAAATGTTATCTGCTTATCTTTTAATAGTAGTAAAACACAGCTCTCTAGCTTCTTTTAATAGTAGTAAAACACAGCTCTCTAGCTTCTTTTAATACTACTGTGTAAAACACAATTTTCTCTAGCTTCTTTTATTAAAGGAATTACATTCTAAATATATTACATTCTAAAACTTCTAGCTTCTTTCTATAATTCTACCTTCTTTAAATAACTGCATTCCAAATTCACTCTCTCCAAATAAAATAAAAGATAAAAATAAAATACCGTGATGAACTCTTCAAAATCGCAAGGAATCAGCACCCTGTCCCTGCACCGTTCCTGACCAAAGACACTTGACAAGGCTTGTCCCATGCTCGTCATATTAGCAGCATCTCCGTCCATAGGATTCGTACCCGATCCCTCGATATCCGCGTCCGTGTTGTTCCCAGAAACCGCATTCGTATTCGAGTTCGTAGTCGCATTTGATCCCTGCTGGATGACCGTCGCGTTGTTCTCCATCCGCATCCTTGGAGGTCCAATTCTAAAAGAATCCGCGGAACAAGGCATGTACGCTATTCCACACATGCCCCTTTCTTGTCGAATGCACATGAGATAGTCCTGGTCCGCCAGAAATCTGCCGTTCAGCAGAAAGTTTAACGTCTTCAGAGTCCCGTTAACCGACTGGAAATATTGCAGGCATCCCGTAGGTGCACGTTGCTCGAAAGCCAATTGAACGATTCTGATTTCCCACATTCGGGGTTGAAGACTCCTGGGCAAGCGGAAGTCTAATGTCAATGGCTCCCTGTTCTCATCCAGGTCTATGTACACTGAAAAAAAAGGGAAACGAGCATTGGAGAACGGATGACTTGGCTCCAAAGAGGCTTGAAACGTGAAAGATCGATTGCGTCCGTAACGAAGCCTGCTTGCCTATATCGATGGAGTCGAGGAACTTGTTCGAAAGTATCGTCTTCAATTTGCTGTTCTTTTGCGAGGAGTTACGGCTTTAATGGGGAGGATCGATTGTGTCGGGCTGCTTTATGAAAATATGATATCGACGTACAGGTGTACAAGTTTAAGAATTGAAAAATTGAAAAATTGAAAAATTGGAAAATTGGAAAATTGAAAAATTGAAAAATTGAAAAATTGAAAAATTGAAAAATTGAAAAATTGAAGAATTGAAAAATTAAAGAATTGAAGAACTGAAGAACTGAAAAACTGAAAAACTGAAAAATTGAAAAATTGAAAAATTGACAAATTGAAAAATTGAAGAATTGAAGAATTGAAAAATTGAAAAATCGAAAAATTGAAAAATTGAAAAATTTGCAACTGTCATCCAAACCTTTTCAAAACTTAACATCAAAATCTCGAAATATTTAATTGAATAATTTCACTATTCCCAGCCTCGATAACACCTGTACAAAAACGCCCGCAATTTAAAGCACATTAAACTCCCGCATCACGCAATTTAGTAATTCAAAAAATGCACACTTTCGTAACTAAAAAACTTGATAACATTACAGAACAAAAGAAATTCATAAATTTTCCTCTCCATTCATGAAAAACGTGATATGATTATAAAATTATTTACATTTTTCAGAGTAGTTTCGCGTTAAGTATAGCCTGCATAAATCCACAGAAAGTTAATTCCAAGATGAAAGCAAAGTATAGATTAGAAGTTGTAACACGATGTACAAAGAAAGTCGTACTTACAATGCTGACCACTGTTCCAGCCGCACATTTGAAACACGCTCCTACCATTCCTGATTTCCATGATATCTTCGTCACATACGCCCGTTCTGGAGTTGGGTTGACCCTACAGCGATCGATAAGTCACTTGAATGAACAAGCCGTGCAGTAAATGCGGCCGATTTTTATCAGCCGACCAATACATACATATGTATGGTGTATGTATATCGCGGTATTCGAAGCAACCGGTAGATTGTGGCCGCTTTTGACCCGCCTTCTTTGCGACCAATTTATAGATAGGTTAATTAATTAACACATTGACTTCCGTGGGGAGTCATTGGTAAGTTTCGTGGCAAAGCTATGTAATGTAGTGCGATTGAAATACGAAAGATGTTAATAGATACGTGGATGTGGTAGAGGTGAACAAATTTTGTGTTGGGAAATTTGGAAATTTGGGAATTTGGGAATTTGGGAATTTGGGGATTTGGGGATTTGGGGATTTGGGAATTTGGAGATTTGGAGATTTGGGGGTTTAGAGGTTTGGGGGTTTGGGAATTTGGAGATTTGGAGATTTGGAGATTTGGAGATTTGGAGATTTGGAGATTTGGAGATTTGGAGATTTGGAGATTTGGAGATTTGGAGATTTGGAGATTTGGAGATTTGGAGATTTGGAGATTTGGAGATTTGGAGATTTGGAGATTTGGAGATTTGGAGATTTGGAGATTTGGAGATTTGGAGATTTGGAGATTTGGAGATTTGGAGATTTGGAGATTTGGGAATTTGGAGATTTGGGGATTTAGAGATTTGGGAATTTGAAGATTTGGGTATTTGGAGATTTGGGGATTTGGAGGTTTGGGGATTTAGGGATTTGGGGGTTTAGAGTTTGTGGAATTTAGAGATTTGGAAATTTGAAGACTTGAAATATTTAATATTTCTATAATCCCAAATTTCAATATCTCCAAATCCCCAAATCTCCAAATCTCCAAATCTCCAAATCTCCAAATCTCCAAATCCCCAAATTTCCATATCCCCCAATTTCCATTTCTCCAAATTTGCAAATCCCCAAATTTCTATAACCCCAGAACCACATATCCCCAAATTTCTAATCAGTATTTTGACTCAACTAAAAAAATTGCTACGACAAAAGTATAAATAACTTTAGAAGTTATAAGTCACGTGTTACGAAATTTCTGTGGGGTGTAGAAGGACTGTTGGTCGAAGGGTAAACTATAATGCGCCCTTAATATTTCTGAACTTTATCTCTGTGACCCTTTGAATTATTAAGATAAGAAATTTGATCAAGCAAAACATTATTTTGCTTTTAAACTTTCATGAACGAGTCTCGTAAACCAATCTTAAAATATTATATATTTAATTAATTGTTGTTGAGTTTAATTATTTACACTGTAGAGGTAAGTATTATCTCATAAAAATGAAATATTAATTACATTTTTGTAAGAAATAGCTAAATGAATTAAGTTAAAAAGATCAATGAAAAATCAATTGTCAAAGAAAAATAAAGGAAGATGAATCGTAAATATGCAATTTATTTCCAGAAAATTCAAAGAAAATATCAAAGGTCTAATATTGTATATCGAATTTTGAAATAACATGGATATACAATAGTTCGCGGAAAATCATGTATCAACAAAGATAATCGAAAGGAAACATTAATTTTTGAAGGACAATTGGTTTCTTAGGGAAGCACGAAATATTTTGTAATGAAAATCAATTGAATTATTTTTTTATCTAACGACCATCAAATTAAAAATCAAAATAATTGTGAACGATGTGAAGAAATCACTGATGTTTATATGCTGACATTTAATTTATAATTAAACAAAGTATACTGCACATTGCTTGAATTATTTTAACTTTTTTCTAAAATATTTTGAATAAAACTTTGTTCTGAAATATTTTGATTAAAACTGCTTGTCTAAAATATTTTGATTAAAACTGCTTGTCTAAAATATTTTGATTAAAGCAGTAATAATGTCATTACTTAAAGCAACAAGGTAGCTACTAAATTTCGTACATTTTTCACCTAGGGTCAACGGATCGAATCACCCCCCAAAAATAGCAGTTCATGTTTCTCGAAAAATGGTGGTCGTTAATGGGTCATTCAGGTGAACGAGCGGAGTCCAATATGTGATCATAGTTATTTATGTTAACGAAAGTACTAGCTAAAAATGGTGTACTGAAAGTATATCCCGTATCTTGCAAGGAAAGAATGAGTACGTAAAGTGCTGTCGAATATATTATCATAATGATATTATTCTTATAATATATTACTTTATAACCTCACTGTGTTCACCAAAATAGGTCCCTCATATTGAACGAATGACATGTACTTTACAAATCATGTATAAAATATATGAATATTTTTCAATACCATTGTTAAAACAAAACACAATTAATAAATATTTATATGTACTTAAAAATTAAATTGTTTTTAAATGATAACAAAATAGGACTACAATTTATATTTTGATAAAGGAGTGCAATAAAGTATTCTTATAAATGTTCATATACCTGCAAAATATATTATGTGTATACATTTATACATATGCATACATTCATTTGTACGTATGCATATGTACATGTGTAGTTATGTGCAATTACACATGTGCTTTTATACATGTGCATTTACACATGTACATTCACACATGTGCATTTGCTAATGTGCATTTACACATGTGCATTTATACATGTGCAGTTACATATGTGCATTTATACATGTGCAATTACATACGTTCATTTATACATGTGCAGTTACATACGTTCATTTATACATGTGCAGTTACATATGTGTATTTATACAAGTGTAGTTACATATGAACATTTATATATGTACCTTTACACATGTGCATTTATACATATGCAGTTACATATGTACATTTATACATGTGCAGTTACATATGTTCATTTATACATGTGCAGTTACATATGTGTATTTATACATGTGCAGTTACATATGAACATTTATATATGTACCTTTACACATGTATCTTTACACATGTGCATTTATACATGTACAATTACACATGAACATTTATATATGTACCTTTACACATGTGCAATTACATATGAACATTTACACATGTACATTTACACATGTGCATTTATACATGTGCAGTTACATATGTACATTTATAGGTATACATTTATACTTATACATTTATATTTATACATTTGCATATGTACATTGAAAAGAGCTTTTACAAATAGTTTATTTCTTCCCAAATTATAAACAAAAGCATTGTAGACGAAATTACGGAATTTAGTATTAATTCTGTCAAACTTGCAAAACAATAGCAGTATTTCCGAGCTAATGAAATATGTATTGTTCAAACCCCTTGATATTTCAGCGAAGATATTCCCAACTCGTGTTCCAACGCTGGCTGAATGACTATTGTAAAGAAAGTATAGTAAGTTCAACCCCCGAGCCGCTGTTCTGGAATATAGTGAAGTTAAAGGGGTGTCGTTAACCCTTACCAACACATTGTAACGCTCGCGTTACGTTACATACGTTCCACCATTTCTGGCTTCCCTTGTATATTTATGGAATACGTATTCTCATTCAGAACAGTTTCGAATTTAAACGGAAGATTATTCAACATTTCTATTGTAACTTCTGTTTAACGTTAAGAAACCGGTTTATATTCTGCTCTTTGTGTTCTTGTCAATATTTAGACCTCTTTGGTGAATTGATTTCATTGTAATTTTATAAAATTGCAGGTACATATCAATTGTTTGAATGATTTTTTTATATGAATTGTTTGAAAGAAAATTATACGATGATTTGATCATATGAATTATTTAAATGAACATTAAACAATGATTATTTTATACGAATTATTTAAAAGAAAATTATACAATGATTTTTCCATATGAATTATTTAAATGAACATTAAACAATGATTATTTTATATGAATTATATAAATGAAAATTATTTAATGACTTTTTAACACGAATTATTTAAATGAACATTAAACAATAATTATTTCATATGAATTATTAAAATGAACATTATTTAATGACTTTTTAACATGAATTATTTAAATAAAAATGATGTAATGATTATTTCATATGAATTATATAAAAGAAAATTATGTAATGACTTTTTCACATGAATTATTTGAATAAACATTAAATAATGATTATTTTATGTGGATTATATAAATGAAAATTATACAATGAATATTTCATATGAATTTTTTAAATAAAAATTATGTAATGACTTTTTCATACGATTTATTTAAATATAAATTAAACAATGATTATTTCATTTGAATTATATAAAAGGAAATTATGTAATGACTTTTTCATATGAATTATTTAAATGAACATTAAACAATGATTATTTCACATAAATTACATAAATAAAAATTATTTAACGACTACTTCATATGAATTATTTAAATGAAAATTATAAAATAATTATTCCTCATGTATTTTACAAATAAAAATTATAGAACAATAATTTATTAGAAATAAATAAAATACACTCGAAGAAAAGAAATGTTTGTTACACGAATGCTAAAAAATAACAAACCTTGACATATTGTTTAAAATTTTTGTCTGAAATGATCTAATTTAGTATGAAATATATCATTCAATATATCATATCGTTATTTTAGTTGAATAATTAACTAAAGTTCAAATGTCATGTCTTAATTAATGAAGAACTTTAAAAACGTCACAAAAGATAGTATTCAAGATAGTACAATTAACAAATGTCCGCCATTATTCAAAAAGCATGAGAGTTCATAAGAAAATATTTTATCGCACACGTAATGTATCAGTACTCATAAATATGTAAGACTAAAACAAATCAATAATAAATAAGCGTTCTCGAAAACCTAATCTAAAATCCTCACACCTTTCATTCTTGAATATAAAATATAATGTGAAGTATATTTCATTCTTGAATATAAAATACAATTATGAATTATATTTTATTCTTCAATATAAAATACGATTATGAATTGTATTTCATTTTTGAAACATAAATATTCATACTTGACGTTAAATATTCATTCTTGACGTCAAAAATAAATAAAATTGTTATAAGTTAATTATGAAATAATCCCCAAAGCGTGTCATTTAACCTCTCATACCTGAAATCACATATTCACATAAATTTTTATTTCATCAAACAAAATTAATAAGCAAAATAATTTCACCGCCAATCGCCCACAATTATTTCAACATATCTAACAGAAATAACTGAATCTGATAAAATTAATAAAAATTAATAAATAAATTCATGACCATAAGAAGTACTGATCACAATAAAGCTCTAATTCATCAAACAGCAAAATCTAAAAATGTCATAGCTCGACCGTAGTTTAGTTAATCACAACCAAAAATGTCACCCCCAATCGCACAAATTACTCCAACACATCTAACAAAACTAACCAAATCAGCTAAAATTAATAAATATTAATAAATAAATTCATGACCACAAAAGGTACTAATCCCAATAAAACTCTAATTCATCAACCAGCTAAAAAATTCACAGCCCAACCGTAGTTTGGTTAATTACAAGGCAGTAAACACACCCCAGTATAAATTCTACAACCGCATTTTTTCGATGAACCGTGTACGTGTTAACCAGGGAACCCTGTTAGAATTCGGGTTGCTGAACCCTTGGTTGCGTTGGCAATTAAGGGTCAACATTTCAACACAGAGTGGACGACATCGTCCGCGGTGTGTGTCTCTCTTTGCTTTGCTTTGCTTTGAAGGGGATGGAAAAGCGTGTCGCTGTAATCACGAATGCGTAGTATTCCGGGGTTAATATGCCGTTAGTAGAGCAAAGAATGATAGAACTGCATGGCTTACTATGTTGAAGTGGACGAAATCGATCCTGAGTTGGCTGACCTGCCTATCGATCTTCTGTACGACCACTGAACAGTTCATGGGCCAGTCAATGAGGTTGGGGAAACCCGGGCTGATCACGTAGGTCAGATTATTTTGTACCTCCTGTTCGCAGGTTGCCGTGACTGGGTGACAAAAAAAAATAGATGTAAGAGCTGGAAGAGGTCCATTAAATATCCACCGGGGCGATACTGGGGATTGATCAAAATGGTGGTTGCAGATTTTTGTTATTTTATAACATTACGGGTTGTTAAATTCACAATTTAATAACATACGAGTTGTTAAATTTACAATTGTATATATTCTTATACAGACAAACTCACAAACTTACAAATTTCAATTTCTTAAGGATAGGAGTTCTAATGGAACAATGGAGCCTCCACATTCTTGAGTATAGAATTACTGAAATTGCAAAATGATTGATTAAGAGCAGGTTTGTGGAGGAATTCATAAATTTTCGAATTCTCAAGTGTAAGATTTTATGAATTTCTTTAATTTCAAAATTCACAAAATCCCAAATCCCCAAATCCCCAAGTCCC